TTAGTATGCATACATACATACATACATACATACATACATACATACATACATACATACATACATACATACATACAGACAGACAGACAGACAGACAGACAGACAGACAGACAGACAGACAGACAGACAGACAGACAGACAGACAGACAGACAGACAGACAGACAGACAGACAGACAGACAGACAGACAGACAGACAGACAGACAGACAGACAGACAGACAGACAGACGGACATACAGACGGATGGACGGACGGACGGACGGACGGGCAGACAGACAGACAGACGGACAGACAGAGAGACAGAAAGACGGACATACAGACGGACATACAGACGGACGGACGGACGGACGGACGGACGGACGGACGGACGGACGGACGGACGGATGGACGGACGGACGGACGGATGGATGGATGGATGGGATGAATTAGACAGAGAGAGAGATATTAAAGCGGAAAGTAACGACACCTATTACATTTTCACCTATTCGTTTACGCCTTTGTATAACAATTACAGAGTAATTGTATGTTTAGAAATTATTTTGAAGCTTGGCGTTGTGTTTATGTCAGAACACGCACTAATTTATAGGTAGTTTAATCAGAGCGTGTTATATTTATCAAGGATGCACAGCTGTAGCTGGTTTGCTGTACCCAGCAGTTATGTTAGGCGCGTCTCAATTTCTAAAATAAACCATTTCCAAGGCTACTAAGAATTACGAAAGAGTAGATGTAGGGTTGTGGCAGCAGATAAACTGGTTACAGATGAGTCTCTGCTAATTGCATAGAAATATTAAATGAAAACGCATGAATTATTCTTAATCAACGCTTTATTAAGAAAATTTTGCACAGCTATAACATGAGAACTATTAATGATTCAAATTATGCGGTTTTCTATTTCTGTTAAAACTCGCGGATTTAATATTTTTAAAGGCACCACGTTATTGATTAGCACACTTATAACATTTGGCACATTTCGACGTAAATCGTTTGAAAAGCTGTATCATTGAATAATAACAATCAATGATTTCGTCCATAAACACGATATAAAAACTGTACAGATAACAAAGGCGATATTAACTCGGTAATTTAATTCATTATTAATACAATTGAACGCGCATTATATTAGTAAATATCAATTTATGCACCCTCGCTAGTTCTCTCACTATACTCAACGGTTTTGAATGCAACCATACAGAATTGTGCGGCACGTAAATCTCCTGACTAGCAAATGAATGCGAACACTTGCCGATGCCAATCGTCAATGCAGACGTTTAGTAAAAAACGCCCGATCAGCAGGTTCAACGGCCCTCTACGTCTTTAAAGCGGAGAAAGCATTAGCTAGAGCGCGCCAGCGGTGGCATACGATAAGGAGATACACTTCGAGCGCCCGTAGTCGCGACTCGAGCGTATTGTCTCCAAACTAATTGCGTGCGAAGTCATAACACGGCCCGATGCACGCGTGCTTTGACGCACGCGATGTAGCCGTAGCATTGGACGGAGGGGCAAACACACACACACACACACACAGGGGAAAGAATGACGACGCACCGAATACTGCAGTGGTTGAGCAACGCTCTGGAGAGATCGGGCACATGCAGCAGCAGCGGCGGCAGAAGCAGCAGCAGCAGCGGCGGTGGCGGCAGAAGCAGCAGCAGCAGCAGCAGCGGCGGTGGCGGTGGCGGCAGAAGCAGCAGCAGCAGCGGCCGGTAGCATCTGCCGGTAACATCGTGTCAGCGTCGTCACACACAGCCTCTATTTTTAAAGGCCACACTCGATTCGCATGGCGACTATGCATGGCGCGTTATCAACTAGACGACTGTTAACGTGCGGACTCATCGCGATGGTTCAACCGTTGGTTTTGGCGTTCAAACACAATGTAGTCGAAATATCTAAGATACCCTCGCGGTAGGCCTCTGCTGATCTTGCTTCCTATCTAATTTAGGTTACCATTGGCTACATGGTGCTGCGCATAGTGAGAAACTTGATAAAGTAAGCGGAGTGGATGTTTTTGTCGACTGGCATAACAGTGCATTAGCTGGCGAGTTGCATCACTCGAAACGAGAACACGCGGATAGTCGTACTGGAAGTGTTGAACAAAAGAAGAAATCTCATTCTTCACTCCACCGTCGATTAACAAAAAAAGGACAACTTCTCCCTAACATAGTTATTTGGCAAGTAAAAATGAAGCCAACCCTGTGTTAATGCGAGAGATTGTACAGCCAACTGTTATGCTAGTGTGAAGCCCAGGCGATACATAGTAACGGGATAGTGTTTGTATTATTTTTGCTTTTACTTTCTCCCCAAGTCAAAACTCAGCGTGACTGTATAAAAATATTGTCGCCCTGCTAACACCCTTTGCACGAAGAATTTAGGTGTTAGCTGTTTGCTTTAGCTGTTAGGGGCTTTCGTGGGGCCACCCTATGTTTATTTTAACGGTCCGCCAGGGGGAGACTCGTCTTCTCGACTTTTTACCCGTTCTCATTAGTAGTGCGTGCACAGTCGGGGGTCGCTAGGGCGTGGATTAGAACCAGTGGCCGTGAGTTCTAGATTTGAGTGCCGTCGTCAGCGGTAAATCCGCCACGATGTGCGCGGGTGCTTTAATCTTGAACTAGACATACGTGTTTAACGAGTACTCGCAAACGCCGAGCACATTTTTCACCAGCAGGGAAACACTGAGCTTACTCTTCTCCGAAGCCCCAGAATTGCGTTTCGGCAATTGCTCGAAGTACAAGCATGATGGCGGCCCGGCGGCGGGGCGAAAACAAATCTTCTGTTGAAATCGTCTGCTGTAAACTTTGCGCCCGCACGTGGTTGCCGGCGTTACACCGGTGGCGCGCTACACACGTGATCGTCTATGTCGACACTAGTGGCGCCCTCATGAAGCGCTCGATGTCGCTAGCGAATGAACAAAGAATTGTAATCCGACACCGCTTCTCTATGAGAGTTTCAGATGAGGCGCGAGTCGCCTACAAACCGCGATTCACAAAATGCGAAAATTACAGAATGATTTCTAAAGCTAGAGATATCTGTTAATCTCGGATACGTAGCCACGCATTCGGTGGCTGTTCGCGCAGTAACAGAGCTATAAATAGCACAGTAATGGTAAGCGTGCACCGTGCTTTGCCCAACGGAAGGGAAGCCACGTGTTCCGAGCAAACGCGGGGCTGGTGACGGGTTACTGAGATCGGATTCTACAGCAGCTACTACTAACGTGTTTGGCAATAACAAGCGAAGTACAGGCGTCTGCACTGGCGACATACAGAACATGCGAGGGAGAGATAACGCAGGCACACTCGTTCTTAGCTCGGCTATAAGTAACGACCTGAAAACGTCACGCAGATTCTCAAACAAAACAGACTTGAATCGTGTGACACAGGATTTGACTAGATCTCGGCTTCTCCCCATTAACATTTTGCATCTACTGCTATTGCTATGTAATTATAATAATAATTATCATAACCATAATAATTATCATAATTATTATGTAATTACAGATTCGCCCTGGCAATCTTAACTTGTAGTACATTAAAATATATATCTACATCAAGAGTACATAATAGAGATCTATATTATGTACTCTTGATCTACATGTGACAATTTTAGGACTGTATTTGTCACCCTGGGCATTAAATATCTCGTACATAATCACATAACTCGCGGCATTACCCTTGTACAAACGTGACATTTACAGGCAATTAAATGTGAGTGAACGATGTAATCACTCGATATAATATGGTATGCGAAAGTGAAAGAAAAATGTTCCATTAGACGTATATGCGCAACCAGGTGCTTCTGAAAAACTAGGTCTTAACATTTCTATACGCACTATATATGGACGCAGGTCGACAGATTAGCACCAGTGTCTTCCTAGCCACTGGAAGTTCCCGCCCCACAGTAGCGCCACCGCCACCAAGGGAAACCCTGTGTTTTTTTAAACTCCTAGTAACAAGGGCTTGTACTAAGAACCCCTATTTTTGTACTGCGTCTATGAGTGGAGTTATTTTTAAGTCTGCACTGCGGGATGAATTTCGGTAACCCTAAATGCATCATCAGTGCTGGTATAAAAAAGGAAATTCACTCTGGGCTGGCGGGATGCTTTTCTACATTTCAAGCACTTACGGAAACAGTTGTCTCGTCAGTGTCATTGTCGTTTGTTGACGCGGTCGTAGTTGTTGTCGTTGTCTCATCATTGTTATTGTCGTTGTCTCATCATTGTTATTGTCGTTGTCTCATCATTGTTATTGTCGTTGTCTCATCATTGTTATTGTCGTTGTCGTCGCCGCTGCTGCTATTATCGCTGTTACTATCACGTATATTTACGCTAATAAGCACCCATGGCTGGTCCGCTTTTAGTTAATTTAGCACATTTGGGGGAATAACTGACTTCTGCTGCGCCCCAGTTCAATGAGCCTCGAATCGTTCCAGAAGGCGGTCGGTGGGGGGAGGCTCGGCCGCATTGCGAAGCCACGTGTTAACTCCGCAGGGAAGTCACATAGGGGTTGCCTCTGCAGCCTCCATCGCCGCTAACACGCGGTTGTTTTTCATTCTATACGCAGTTATTCAACGCATTGGCTCTCGGGACACCACGTGAGTGGCACACTGTAGGCGTTTACGGGTACACGTCCTCCGCCCACGGAAGGGCTATCTGTGATCGCATATAGCTCGCACTGCAAAATCGCGAGCGGGGTTTTGGCCTCTCCAGCCACCCGGATGCGTTCCTTGGTCACAAATAGCTCGACGCAGACAACGCAGCCACCCCAGTCACTCATCCAACGCCGCATTTGCTAACGTGATCATGACGTACGGCGATGATGCGCACGCCCGGAATGACTCCGTTGTCTCGAAAGCACTTCGGGACGCAGCGAGCTTCATCTCTGGTTCGTTGCTCCGACGTGGGTCGTTTAGTCAGCATGATTCACCGACGTGCCGGGTCGCAGTCCTGCAAAGGAAAAACGCACGGCGGTGTCAACACCCCACGTTCATTCACATCGTGGATACGAAGCGTTTATGAGCGTATTGTTTATATATATATATATTATTTGGTTATATTATATTATTGTGCGGAAACGAGCAGGTAAATGTTAGATGTCGAAAGAAAGGTATCGAGATGGGGCGCGAGAAGGTAGATACAGGGGTGCGAGAGGGAGAGAGAACGGGGAAGCGAGAGGAAGAGAGAGCGAGGAAGCGACAGGGAGAGAGCAGAATTACGTTGTGGTTATAGGTGCTCAGTTGCTGGCTCATACTTTTCCTTTTATATTCACTTTTTATAACAATTATAATAACGACACAATATAATGTTCGATCTAAGAATGCACTATTATTAAACTGCTGCTCGATGCGAATATGCATTATAAACTATCGAGGTTGATTACTATTCCTTCTATTTCCCAATTTGTAAATGCAAACGTGACATTTCTTGAGAAATAAATTGCCTCCCTCCACGCATAAGTAGGCTAACTAGAAACGCCAAACATCTGCATATTCATAGTCTGCGCAGTCAAAGGACGCGTTAAACGTGCGCATCCTTAAGTCGACATGTTTTCACAACTAGGATTGCTCCAGAAACCTCAACCGGCGGGCCTGTACCCACCCGTATAGATAGAGGGTTTGACCTATTAAATTGTACGAGGGCACCGGCCAGAGTTCGTAACCTACGTTCCGCTATGTTCACGTGTCTGGAAGTTAACTATAGACGCACGCTCAGCGGCTCAAGACAGGAGCAGCGCATTACATGCTCGGCGGCAGAATTAATAGACAGTTCAGAATATGGTAGAGGCTCGTGTTACCATAACTACTGGTTGACTACTGTGCCAACTCTCCCGGCACCTGCACTGCGTCAACAGTAAAATGGACGTGGCGATGAGGAATCATCCGCTTGGCGCTATTCGTCACGGAAATATGTACGAAGTCGCGATGGTGAGGCGAAGTGAAACGAAATAAGAAATGATGGATTTCGAAGTACGAAGAAATCTTTGAGAGCGGCTGTTATATGCGTGCTAGACACCGCGACGCTTTGAGATGAAACTGGATATGATAGATTGAAGAAGTGTGAGCAAACCTATAAAAAGAAGCGCTGTGGAGATCAGAGGGTGTTACTTTTCACAATAATCTTTGTTAATATGCTTGGGTGAAACGAAGGCATGAAAGGTGTTCACACCAAAGCATGCAACATGCAATTAGCTGAATGGAAGCCATGGTACTATTATTTCTAGTAAACACATTGATAGCATCCTACTTGCCCCCGCAACTACTACCACGTCATCTTCTGACTGGTGTTTCTAAATGTTTCGCATTGCTCGAACTTCAAGAATACTTTGAATCCTCCGTTATGTATGATAAAAACTCTTATATTATTGTTATCAACATACATATATACACATATTTATACATTTATATATGTATGTATGTATGTATGTATGTAGAGAGAGAGAGAGAGTGAAAGAGAGGGAGAGATGAATTTCCATAGTGACACAGTGCATGTCTTCGTACGTACCCTGGACAATAAGTGCCGTTGAGTGGTTATACGTTAATTAGATTTTAATGTGAAGACCAGATTTAGTAGTCTCGTAAACATATATCAAAGAGCGAGAGTGCGACAACATGACACCTCCTGAAAAAGGGGCAAACATCCGGTGGCGGATCAAAATAAATCAGATTTGCATGTAATGTTGTTTATCGCGGTTTATATTTAGAGTAGCGAAGGACCGTACTCTAAATTGATGACACATAATACAGCCCGATGCGTAGATAACTGAGAGAGAGAGAGAGAGAGAGAGAGAGAGAGAGAGAGAGAGAGAGAGAGTGTGTGTGTGTGTGTGTGTGTGTGTGTGTCTGTGTCTGTGTCTGTGTGGGAGGGGGAGAAAGAAAGAGAGAGAAGGCGAGAGAGAACCGCAGCAGCTTACATGCCGCGTTCAGTGTTTGATTAATGAATGGAAGCTAAGCAGAATTTGTTCTCGTATCTTCATTTTACTCTCATAATAACATGTGCCGATACTCTCGCACTGTTGAGCTATTAACAAGGTAATTTACGACACAGTATCCCGTGGATTCAGCATACTATAGATATGGTAGTGGCAATAGTATATACGAGAACTTTAACATGCTTACACGTTTTTGTTTGTTTCGAGGAAGCGACTACTACGGTTTCATATAATCCGAAATCCACGAAAGCATCGACCGAAAAATTCAAAATAAGGGATTAAATTAAAGGCTCTAGCTGAATATAATTAGCTATAAATACTAGCTAAAAATATCTGTGTTAAGCATAGCGGCATGATTGTACATGTTCTTTTCAAGGCTCTCATCTCGTGTTATATGCAACACACACACATGCCCTATAAGAAAAGGTTAGAGTAGGTAGGGTGAGAAGGATATAACGTTTATCATCGTCCAGACAGCCAATACCCGGATAGTGTTCGCAAACAACGCGCTGCATGGTTGACTGAGAAAAATGGCTGGCATGAGTCTAGGATAAATGTTCATTGATTATATCGTCTAATATTATGGACGTGCCGCAAAAGTCCTTTCATTGCCATCACAGCAAGTTAAAAGATAGAGCTAATAATAACATAATTGCATATAATATCGGTTGACGACGCATTTGATTACTAAAATGAATAATTGAAATAGATTTTCCATTGCTGTAGGATTGCGTATAAAACAAGAAAAGTAAATAGCTTAAACAAGATTCCCCGTGCAATGTTGACTGGTTCCTGCGCTTAGTATTTTTATTGCATATGTGATAAAATATGTATAAATAATAATAATATCTGATGTATTTACACGTATCAGCACAGATCGTCTTGTTACGTATTCGCGAGCATGCCCCAACCACGTGCGTTAAATTTACCACCCAGCTGTTGAAGATGTAAAATTGACATTTCTAGTTTATGTAAACAGCGTTTTTATTCAACTAGGTCTGATAATGCCTGGTCAAATGAATTGCGGCTAGAGCAAATATCTTTCCGTACTTTATATTTATAATGCTTACAGGGCGTATAAACGGACTGCATAAATATGGACCATTAACACAAATATCCCTCCCATGTTACGCTTGCTTGCTTGCAAGAGACCTCACGTGGCATCATTACGCGAATCATAATGTAATTTCGTAGTTTTTGCGTAGAACTTGCCATGATTACCATGGCATGATATGTTGATTTTTTGCAACCAAAGTCACGTAAAACTAACGAGAAACGTTTGGGGCGTTAAACCATCTAAGTATAAGTGAAGTACACACTGATAAACATTATGTCAAGCACGTATGACCGTAATAATGATGCCAATACACGTAAGCAATCAACATGCTTATATAACATATACACCAATATAATATGCTTCAGGAAACCGCTCGTCATGGTTCAAGTGCAAGTTCAGTGTTCAGGGAACCCGAGTCATACGGGCCGGTGGCAGGTCAAGAGGGGAAATTGTAAACGTGGGCGAGGAATCCCACAAAAATTTGTTAAAAACTCACTGACCTTTTCCTTATTGCACTTAGATCGGTGAAATACAAAGAAACCTTGAAATAACCCGACCGAGCAAATAGAGTTGTTCAGCTGCTTTGCTCTTTTTATATTTTCTCGTGAGCTTTGTTATTCCGCCGAAAAAAACGCCGGTAGTGAGGCGTCGATGCAGTAGTGCACGAAATAGTATAAAGCGTCCACACACACCGCGCACGCGGACGCACGCACGCACGACGCACGCACGCAACGCACGCACACGCCACAGCACACTTAAACACACAATAACACACATTACAACACAACACACACACACACACACACACACTACACTATACTATATATATATATATATATATATATATATATATATATACACACATATATGCGTGGTTAATGCGGGTGTGTAAAACAATATAAGTTTGAACTCATTGCTAAACTGATTATAAATGAGGCCGGATATATTAACTGGTACAGCCTGAGAGTCGGCAATTACAGCTCGATTCCAGCCCCCAGCATTCGAGAAATGACGTCAAATGCAGTTATTGCTTCCCAGCCTGCGGACATCTCTAGACGTTCGTCGATTTATGCATGCCGGCATGGCAGGCGACATGTTTTGTATCACCTCTATATAATTCCGCACATTTCGCACATGACAAAGCCAAGGCAAGCGCGAGCTGCATCTGTGCACTGACCCAGCCAGGCCAGCAACCTGTTCTAGCTCTGTCCATGGAGATCCGATGTAAGCTTCTACTCTCCACGCACTAGCCTTCGCCGTCGGCCGAGACTTCGACTTTCTCTGGTTATCCGCTCGACATTCTCGACAGCCTTAGACTGCCACCTCATATACCTAACTACTCTCATTCCAACCAGCTACAGGGACTTCTGGTGTCAAACTGACACTGCCATGCATCATTCAGATAGCAGACATGGACTTGCCACTACGTCATCATCTTCCGGGATGAATACGCCCGCATAGCGGCTGGCTGTAATCCTACCGGCTGTGTGTTTAATAAACAGGCAGGGCTTCGCTGTCGCGAAGCTGCAGTCGGTGCGAGGAGGGCATAAATTATGTAGGCCTATATCAGCCCGCCCGATGACCAGCCGGCAGCCGGTAAGTAAGCTGTCAAGACCGATGAGCGAACCGACTATTTGTAGAATGCTACCCGCGCCGCTGTATCCGTGATTTGCGGGAAGCTGCGTCTCTGACCAGGAGACTGGTATATACGAATTCGTTGCATTCCGCCGACTCTGAGGCAGCAGACAAGTATTTCGCTGGCGAGCTTCTCGCGGTGCGAGATTACGCAAGCGCGCGCCTGTGCCTGTCAACGCTGACGCATGCAGTCGGTGTGCGGGAATGGCTATTCGCGTCACAGGCTCCACCCACGATGCGCGTGACTAAATAATTCAAATATGTACACGCGTTCAGCACAGCTAAAGTCGTAAACAAGAGGCAGGAGAGACAATCGCATGGAGAGAGAGAGAGAGAGAGAGAGAGAGAGAGAGGAGAAAAGTGAGAAGTGAAAGACTTACAGTGAACATAGGAAAGAATAAAAAACACTAATATTTGAATGCGGTGCATGTATACTGGTATATCATAATAAATTAATTAGGGTTTTCACCGTTAAAGTCGATTTATAATTTTTTCAACCAACCTTCACCAGTTATATATAAAATACTCTAGGTAAATATGCACTGAATTAGGCCCCCTACATGTTTCTATGGATCTTAACTGGGCTGATTCTTGTGTAGTGCACCCTACCCCGTTCAGAGTGCTAAATGCGTGCCCACAACATCTGTAACCACTATGGGACCGTATATATGCCGGGGTAGGAAAAAATTCATAACATACATCACATCTACAGCTTGACGCTTACGGATGTGATCACACGTAAAGTGGAAGCGCCGCATTCAATGTTTACGGCCGCCATCTTGAAGTGAATACGCTTCAATCTTTATATAATATAGATCTCCTGATATAATACTCCAAACCTTAGAGGCTAAAACTATGAAAATATTTGATTTGCTTCGAAACGGAATTCACATCCTGAAGCGTCGCCATTGCTAAAATCGCAAAAGTTATGTATAAACAAAGAGCATACACCTAGTCGCTCCCACCTTTCTTCTACCTGATGTTTAGCAGAGCTACAGTTTTTTTATTGACTGCACCAATACATCATTTACACAGAAAATTATATGCGCTTGGTGCTTATATGCGCTTATGCCATAGAACGGCTTATATTATCTTATCAGCCTATCAACTTGATAATAAATTGTTGAATACCAATGGGTTTCATTACGCGAATGACCTATAGCATAAAAGTTGCCGTATTTCACGGATTGTTTCCCAAAAGCAAATATAGCCTAACGTTTGTTCTTTAAATTTAGTGAAGGGTACTGGAGGCATATCACCAAGTTTAATAATAGGGATCGTTGTTATTTTATTTATGGTATATATATATGTATAGTAGCAATTATACGCGCCTGGAGTTCGGAAGCTGCTGGGTTTATATGACAAGAAACTTGGAAGCCTACCCATTCCAGCTTCACCTATTCTGTGTCAGGTTATATGTGGCGCGTAAATAGTTCATGCAATCCCAATAAACACATCTTGCCGCGCATTATATTATGCGTGCAAATTATACCACCATCCTGGTTATAGAGGGAGCATATTTCAGACCGCCTTGCACTGCTATAACTGCCGGGCCATGATGCTGTTACACATCTGTCTATTGGCATCGCATACGTATGTTATGTCCATCTCAATGCGTAGCTACTGTATATATTATAAAGGGTTTCGTACATAGAGTTACGCTTACGATAGGGTATGTGGTTGGATATATCCTAAGAGTGAGAAAGAAAGAGAGAGAGAGATTCAGGGCAACAGAGAGAAAGGCGGAGAGAGCAAGAAAGAGAGAGAGACAGAGAGAGGGGAAAGAATGTGAGACCGAGAGCAGAAACGTAGAGTGAGAGAGCGGCTGTTGTGTAATTTGATTTAATTGAAGTATTAAAGTCGTACTAAACATACATATGTATTGAACAACGTATGTCTAGAGCTCATTCGTTTTTAATTGGGTTTAAAAGTTTTTCTTTCATTTTGGTTCATTGCCCTAGGTTTAAGAAGCTAACGCGCTAGAGGTATGCCGCTAGCAGTTGCTAGAATGGCGAAGTGAAAACAATTGTTTCTTTGAGTTCAGTCTTCTGATTCTGCCAGGGCAAGAGAAACAGAGTGAGAGAGAGGGTGAGAGAGAGAGTGCGTAGGGGGTTCAGCGATTTAAAAATAATACTGCGTTGAAAAGTTTAAGCTTGACTGGTGTACGTAGGAGGCAAGCTGTATAAACAGCAGCAAGTCTATTTTTTGTTCTCTCTCTCTCTCTCTCTCTCTCTCTCTGTCTCTCGCCTCTCGCACGTGCACTGTCTCTCTCCTCTCGCAATACAATACTCATATAGCAATATAGCAGAGCATAAGGCCGCAGAGATGTCAGGAACCAGGGGCATGCCGCGGATAGTGAACTATGACCCAGACAATTTTCTTTGTAAATACCTTCACAGTGTGTTTACTTAGAGTACGCGTCAATGGTGACGAGAAACGATGCGTTTAAAAATATGCTAGGTTACACCATATATATATATATATATATATATATATATACATATATATGATTATAAACCTAGACAATGCCTAATGCTAACACAATTGGCCAATTTATGATTTATGATACACAACACAGTCTCGTATATATCGGTAAGCAGTTGTTAGCGTAGGATGATTAGAAAATGAACAGTGAAACGTAAACCAGCTCCCTACAGTAGTTATAGCAGCAGCAGCAGCAGCAGCAGCAGGATCAGCACCACGAGCAGCACGTGGAAGCATGAGTCACGATATGTGTGACCTCGGAACTGAAGCCATGACAGTTAACTGGCGCAGATGCTTGATGGTAGCAGATAAGGTTTCAGGCTGCGCTAGTGTTGCCCGTATTTATACGCATCAGCATCACTCCTACTTGGAACTGATCTAAACCAATACATAGATATGTATATATATATA